CTCGCTAGATAGCGATTTGCTTGATATATCGACTTTTGTAGGAGTTACTCCAATTCGTTCCTTTATTGCTGTAGCTACTAATTCGGCTGTAGTTGGGACAAGGGTTGAGGTGATTGCTCCTTTAGTATTGATCTCGACAGCTTCAATGCTCCGAGGGATCCCTGACAAGCGATATGCTGCCCAGTTTTGTGAGGATTCAATCTTGGCTACTGAGAATAGAGTCTGTATAAATGCTTTCTTTGTTGTTAGAAGGTCCTCAAGAGCTTTCTTGTCTTTAAGGACAATAGCGAATCCAGAGTTAACCAAGAGGACCTCTTGTACAAGCTCTTTACAGCCTATCTTCGCGTCACAGAGTGCAAGGAAGATAGCTAGGGCAGAGTGATCTCTTTCAGGGGAATTAGGAGGAAGTCCGATAAAGACCCTAAGGTCTGATTTAGCTTGCGAGTTCTTGTTCTTGTTCTTCTGTGTCCTTGAAGTAGTAGTAGAGGAAGAGAGAGAGAGAGGTGGGATTGTTGTTGCCGAGGTTGCGTTTTTAGGCGCTAAGGCACTCTTTGCGGTCCGTGCGTAGGAAGATTTTTCTACAGGAGCCAGAGGGGGGGAGGGGGTCAGGGGGGGCGTAGGGTCGCCTGTGTGTATGATTGATGGGGATTCCGAGGTCGGGGGTAGTGGGGGGGGTGTCCCTGAGGTGTATGCTTGGTGGAATGAGAGGCTGATGTTGGCTACTTGAGTACAAAAGGCTCGAAGGTAGGGCAGTAGGTCGGGGGGGGCTTTGTCGAGTACAGTGCTTAGGTGGCAATCTACAGCTTCTGCGGTTCCTCCGAAGAAGGTTTGGCCTAAAGAACTACGTTCAAGGGCTTTGGCAGTTGCTAGGACGAAGTGTTGTTGTATATTCGGGAGGGGGGGAATTGGGCGTGCTCCTCCCCTATCCGGACCTCTTTTCAGAGGCGACAGTAAGGCCGGAGGCCTCCTTAGAGGGGTCTCCATGGAGGGTAATCGGCTTGTTTAGTACAAGCAAGTGAGAGCAAGTGATTTAGAACAAAAAATTTGATCTCGAAAAAAGGTTGTTTTTTTTTTTTTTTTTTTTTTTTTTCTCTCGAAGCCCTATTTGAACAATGCCATTGGCCGCTACTTTACAGTATGAGTTAATCTCTCGGCTGAGTCTAAAGGGCTCATATGGCTAAGACAATGCTAACATGTGCGTGAGAATGTGTAGAAACAAGGGGAAATGCGCGATCAAAGCTGGCTGTAGCCTGTGCAAACAGGGGCATAGATTGATGCAATCCTGCCGTGTCTTCCTTAGGGTTTTATTCAAGCCCTTATACCGCTTTTTGTTGCCTGGGATTGTACTTTTGTAGCCTCCGATGACCTCTATGGCCATAATGCCATGTCACCACCGCGATATAAGTCGGCAAGGTAAGGTAGTAGTAACAAGCTGTTGTGCTTTGTCTACTTTCTCTTTTGCTCCACTTCCTTATTTGATCCACTTATAGTTCTGCTGCCTAAATGCTTCATGTCTGCCTAAACCTTACACTCTTTATATAAACACCTTAGATAGCTACCTTTTACAATGCAATCAATTCTCCATGACCTTCAGTACCCAATACCCTTTCAACCCAATACAAGCATATCTGTGTGCGGCGGTTTTTGGTAGGAACTTTGGAGGTAGCAGAGCATTTTGAATAAGCCTTTCGGGATATCTACGCCTTCTTAGCCGGCTAGATGATGAAATCGACACAACAGAAGCCGCATTGCCAATTGCAGCTTGGAGTTCGTCAAAGTGAGGTATGATCGTGTGCTTGAAAGCCATTGATTGCGGAATGGCGAAACGATCCGACGGATGAGGCGGTTTCATTCAAATATTGCATGCATATGATCATATCTATGCAACTTTGTCAACAATTTCTGGGAGAACTCCTACATATACCAATGGACTGCGAAAAAGTAGGGAGAAGCACGTTCACATTCCAAACATTACAGGTAACACCAAAGCGCAGCTGAAAGATAAATTTCATACGCATATCGGTTTTTATTCTCCTAATGCCTCCATCTATATTGCATCTTGAACTCTTCAATAGCCGTGGCTGCTATTTGAAAAGTTTATGAAAGTCAGAAGATGCGACTTTCAATTTGCCTGAACTTTTCCAATGAATCTTGCAAAAACTGCACTCTGTCTTCTAAATAGCTTATAGATGAGGTCCCAGATAAACCAATCTCTCCTCAAATAAAGACCTAGAATGGTTAGCAAACACGACAGGAAACACGGGGCCTTGGTCTCAAAGCCATACAACACCAACCTCTCCAAAAAAAAATACAAACTGGGGGTTCCAAATTTTGATATACGACCAACTGAGTACCTAGGAACTACAGTAAAAACAAAAGAAGAAACATAAAAAACGAATACCCTATCGAGACTGCGAACGCCAGACCTCCTCTCATGTAGCCGAGCTAAGCGCAACAACGCAAGAAATTTCTTTGCCCCGTAACATTCACGAACGCCGTTTAGAACACTTCCAGGCGGACATGGCTGATAATCTTCAAGGAGTTGGTTGTCAACTCTCTGCTTCTAAAGATTTTATTGTTTCTTTCGAAGAGATATCTCGAAGAACCAGCCATCATTGGAACTCCAAAAAAGACATTCTGGCTGATATCGAGACAGAGTCTGCTGTTCAGATTGTGTTTGGAACTTGGCAGCCGCCAGAGATAAGTTCATAGTTTTTTGGCTTTTGATCGACGACAGTTCCGGGAACCAGTTTCGAAGCCAGACTTTGGAGGGCCCACTTCTGTGCTTAACTCAACCCCCAAAAGACCAGAACATGCCAAATTCAGTAAACAGGATGGGACTTTTCCGCCACCATTTAAAATCTCAAGCGTTTTCATGTTCAAGATTTGAATTTTCTTTTCCCCCAGAACACTTTTCAAATTCAGATGATCGTAAAAAAGCGGCCAATGGTGGGGGTTGCTGTGCCTCAAATCAGTGTCTCAACATGACGTCTAGCGCCTGCTTATTTCCATTTATTTGACCACACAGCCCAGCCAAAGCCTTAGACGAGCATCGTAAAAGCTTAAAACCAAAAGCTCTTATCTCCCCGCAATCCATCGCCATGCACAAACACCCAAAAAATGAGTAGACAAGATTTGCTGTGCCCCCGGATCCTATATTCCGTACAGTCCTAAAAGTGGATCGCGGCCACGCGAAAACCAGGTTCACGCGTGATGTACCATCCGTAATTCAGATACAGCAAGAGGGAAATAGGGCATTCAGTCACTTTTAGCCCTAATCCACTTCAAGGGATCACAGACCTCAAGCACACGAATAAACGAGTTTATATTCTAGTTTGTGGACTTCTGAAACTCTTATAAAGATCCCCAGTACTTTAGTGTAACACATTAGATACTGCGCCGCATAGGCGAACGAAAGACTGCATGTAGACTCCACAATTTCCCAAGTTTCACAAACCCAATTGCCCTGGAAAATCCCATCCGTTCCTGGCTGATTGGGTTGATCGGTACGAAATCTCACCATCCAGAGGCGTTGATTTCATTTGACTAATACTAGCGCCGAGAATCCTATCTGAAGTTCCACCATGTCTTAAAAGTCCCTGTCCATCCTTCTCTGAATCCTTCTGCTCGTTTTCTCGTTTTCCCAGTCTTGATTGTTGTCTTCGCAACCCTCAAAAAATATGTCTCGCGTTCTTTTGTCAGTGGTTTTAGTATCTTCTATATTCGTTTCTACAAACGCAGCAGCCACTTGTTGGTATCCAGATGGCAGGACATCAGAACCAGATCACGTACCATGTAATCAAACCGGAACAGCAGCTTCCGCTTGTTGCGATCCTTTGGACTCATGCTCAAGCTCAGGATATTGTCTGGGAAGATCCGGGTGGCTGTACCGTGGAAGTTGTACGGACCAGGTAAGGGATTGTTTTAAGTCATTTGGTTTTCAGGGCCATAAACTGTGTTCAAAACCAGATCTAATTAGAATTCTAGGCATGGGAATCTCCCAACTGCGCCAAACAACAATCAGCCTGCGTAACCAGTGAGTTCATCTCCCTCCTTCAAAATACAAAGTAAACTAAATTAAAATAACCTTACAGACCCTATCACAAAGCGAGCATTTAACTCCTGGAACCCACTGTGGTCGTGTAATCAACCCGGAACACCGGCAAGCGACTTCTGCTGTAGGCACACTTCATTCTCTTCCTTGACTATAGCTAGTAGACTGACCCTTCACAGGTGGCTATGGTTCGACTTCCTGCTGCAATTCTTCCTTCGTCCTCGGCACTACGGGATCAGCCTTCAAACCCGGCGTTGACGCCTTTGTTGCAAACCTTACGTCAGGAAATGCAACACCTACCTCCATCGCCAACGCCAACGCCATTGCCAACACCAGCGCGAACACCAGCACCCCCGACGCTGCAAAATCTTCAGATAATTCAGAACTAGGAACGAAAGTCGGTCTCGGTGCAGGAATTCCACTCGGAGTCTTGGTGCTTGGGCTACTAGCACTTCTATTCTGGCGAGAGAGAAGCAGGAGATCATACAAGGGTATCGATACACCTATGAATTCTGTGAACAATAACGTTTCTGGAGCAATGGCAGGACAATATATGCACAATGACCAGGAGCAACGCCAGAACAGCTATCAGAGCAATGGGTCAATGGTTGGGACCGGGAGTGTGTATCAACAACAAGTTTCGCCCGCGCAGACTTACCAATCTCCCGTTCAGAAAATGGATCAATATAGTTTTGCGCCTACGTATGAAGCTCCAGCAAATACTGCTCCTCAGGAGTTATCCACCAGTCGATGATATGGCGGCTTTAAAAGAATTGGCGGGAAAGAGCATCTGGCATGACTTATTGTGGTTTAGCGGTATCTATATACGAAGGGCTCCGTCCTGAGCAGAAAAGGCATTCATGATTTTTTGTAAATAAATTTGCAGCGTGGGAAAATAGATTATTTAATTTCGCTAATGACGCTAGTTATTGTTACATTATGAAGTTCAATTCTGTCTAAACCTACACTTAAGCTCGTAGAGCTATTATTCTTCTCTCACTCAACGATATATATAGTAGATACTATTCGGCTAATACCCAGAAATAGGTGCCTAGAAAATGTATTTCGAGCTCTATTTCTTCGTTTGCTCGAAGGAATAGAGATCGATTTTCATGGAATTTTATAGAAAACAGAGGAAAGCCACATCCGTATACGTATTATATCTCCAAGTTTAGCCTACTAGAGTGTTTCTTCGATTACCCATGAACATCTGGCCAGCTACTAATTAAAGATTCAAGGATCGGTACGACACGATAGTAGAAGAGACATCATATCTAAAACAGACTTACGAAACAAATTTTAATACGAAAATTCCCAGTCTTTATAAAATGTGCTAGTTGGCAGATTTTGGTCCTATAATTTAGAATCAATTTATCTTAGATCTCTCGCTCTTGCCCTCAAACCCCTATCTTCACTTCTCAAAAGGTGGCGTATGAAACAATCAGGCTGAGTGTATCAGCTCGTATTGAAAAGTATTTCATTTTTAGAACTGCAATAAATTTTGCAACACCTCTCAGATGTTTTTGTTGCATATCGCAATAGTTCTAAGTTAAGTTTGTACTTAAAATAGAAGTGCCTATGAACTAGGGAGTTTGGACATGTGACTTCTAAGTCTTTACAGCCAATCAAAACATGTGATCCTGTCCCAAAACTGATTTATCGCTAAAACAGTCTTGGACTTGAGAGCTCAAAGTCATTTGTGTAATTGTTCCGCACAACAAAGTCCGAAATGGTTATTATAGAAATCACCATGATTAATACAAGAACACGCATTTCATGAAATCTTAGTAAAACCACCGCCCCTATTGGTGGGGTTCATAATTAAAAACTTATTAGTTCGTATGAGAGTTATACACCGTGTAATCCCAAAGTCGATGGAGACCAATGTAAAAGCCAGTTTCATTCTTCTAGCTGCGTTTTGGTTCAAGGAGTGAATCCTTAATGCTTTACTCATGGTGTCTCGCCACTCTGGCCCTATATCTGACGCCCAAAACTGCGAGAGGCTATGGCATGAACAACAATATCTTTTGCGCAAAGTTTATTGCCCCATTTGAAGCGGTAAAGCCATCTTACATGCTCGTTTGAATGGTTATTGAAAATAGCCGCCTCAATGGAGTTCTGGTTCTTTGCGACTGGTCCTTGAGTCACTGACTATGAATCTTTGGTGAAAGAGGGCAATTGAGTCAGATTGACCTACTGCAGGTCGATTGTTGGAGTAGGTTTCACATACTGGCTGTCCAACACGCGTAGTTCTCATCTACACAACTGGAGAGGTTCATTTTGAGGGCAGGCTGGGAGGCTACGATGAACAATTTTTCTTTGCGGACTTTTCTTTGCAGTCTTTTCATGGTTATGGAAAAGAAGGTGATCTCCAGTTGTTTCAAAGGGAAAGCAAGGCTGTCTTACAGCTAAGGCAGTAATTTAGCTGGCTTGTCCTCGAGGCTAGAACCTATTCAGGAGGAATCATATGTGATGCGGGGATTCACTCTGTTTAGACGCAAACGCTCAGCCGATCTATAACTACTACCCTAAGAAGATACTTCAAAGAGTCAGAAAATACTTCGTGAAGTAGTTTTCAATTTCTCAATTAGCAAAATACCGCAATACTACTAGTACGGCACCTATCCCCAATACAAAAAGTAATTTGAATCTAGGCTATCATGTTATTTTGTCATAACATGTGTACTCTTGTGCTCCAAGGGCTAATACTCGTGAGCCTATTCTGAAAGTCTTTTAATATGGCTATATGAAAAAAGAGTACTCGTAAACAATTAAATAAAAGTGGTACGGTTCTTCTGGCCCCTAGGGTCCGAAAACACCCCAATTATGTAAGGGTTTATACCTTAGTAACGTCGCTTGAGCTACAAAAATAGGGCATATAGAAATCTGTTCCTCTTCAGTAGTACTGTGCTTCTCCGTTTCCTACTTTGGTGGAGAAAAATTCAACTTGTTCGGCCCCGCTTCCACAGGGTACGGAACAGACATAGGCGGATCAAGCTTAGATTAACAACCTTTAATTACAAAACGTTACTTCTACGAGTTTACATGCGTTCTTACGAAATAGCCCTTATACCCTTCTCGCACTCACTTTTGCCCACCCTTACTGTCGCATCCGCACTATCACTAGTACTCTTAGTATCATGGTCTTTGTCGCAAATTATATCAAATGAGCAACGAGAACAGCTGACTACAGCTAATAAACGTGTTAAGGAAATGATAATTTCGTGTATTCGCCAAAGTAAGGCTCCTAATCTTCCCTGAACTAGCAATATTATTACGTTGCAACTTCTACTCCTACCTGGTTTCCTAGTCTTCCTAGCCCCCTCCCTCTTCTTTCTTGACCAATACCTACGACAGCAAGATTAGCATAGTAATCTGTAGTACAAGTGGATAAAGAGGGTGCAGAGAAGAGTGGTGGAGGGGAAAGGTGCGATATTACATGGTTAGAAGACAGTAATCATTAGGAGATAGTGAGGGTATTAATCTCTATATTCGAAGCTGCTGAGATATTTGCCATTTCCTCACTACTCACTAGCACTAGCGTCTTTTCAGGGCGTTTGATACCTACCTGTAACTTAATTTACAGAATGAATAGTTCCCCTGTCTATCTAGCAACAGATCACAATTCCAGAGGACGCTAGCTACAGATACTCTATTGTTTCTTGTTTCTCGCCATCTTTGCTACCGTTGGGCGACATGTGAGGCACGGAATACCTTGTGTCAGTATACCCACTCCTGGGGGAGTGTGCAGAGGTCAGTCACGTGAGACGTGAGAATGTCTAAGACACCACACAACACCATACGATATATCCTTAGCTAGAAACCCACATTCTTTTAGAGCCTCATATAGATAACAAAGCAACATAACATCCTGTATCACTTTACTAGTACTTTACTAGTATAGTAGAACCAACATCTTAACTTACCTAGTTCAGAGAGTCTGTTTAAATCCTCAAGTAAACAATAAGGTCTAATATTATAGTTCCTAGGGCTTTTGATACTAACGAAATACATACATTCTCTTCCCTCGACAGTAACTAGTCGTTAACAAAGTTCTATAAAGCCTTAGTGTCCTTTGAAATCTTGCTTAAAGGCTCAGCCGAATCTTATGTCACAACAGCCTTAACAGCCTTATATGTGTTCTACAAGACGTTGAAATCCACCCTCAAATTTATCGTCACAAGCTATCAAAGAGGGGTTTTTTTGAATTTGACATCTCCATTCAGGATTAGCATCAAATCGCGAGGACGCCAGTCGTATACCGCTGGATTGCGATTGTCAAGGAGCGTTTCAAATTACAGAAGTAACTGAGTTGAATGAACGTATAATTTGTTCCATTTGCGATTATTAATTCGTTCGAGAAAGAGGGAGGGATGGAACAATAGAATTATAGTACGTGGAGACAAACAGTATACCTACGGATAGTCTCAATAGGCAGGCTCAAGGGTATAAAATACTAGAATTTATTAAACTTTTGAAATTCAACTAATTATCGAAGGGGTAGTTCATTTGACAGGAGTTTTCTTCGATACCCTTTACCAATAACAAAATGATATCAATACATAGACCCCTAGATGAATAGCGTAGACCCAAGGGCGATCAGGGAAGAGCATAAACGGGTGAATAGAAAGATGGTATTAAGATAGTGTTGGTATAGAGATATCTGTCGAATTCCCAGAGGGAATTCAACAGCTAGGTGTGAACAAGCAAAAGGTGGTAATATATGCGATTCGATTGCTAAGGAGCTAAGTAAGTATAAGAGTTCGAGTATTAAGTACTCGAACAAGGTAGGTCTTAGTAACGTGACTAAACGAGTAGAATATATTATAATAAATAGTTCTTATTCTTAACTTTTAAAACTATATTTATTTATTTATTACTATTTAACGTCAGGCGGAATCTAACTCGCGTGGGCTAGGTCCTAAAAGTCCCATTGTTGGGCAAATGACGCTAGGGGGGTGCCCTAGGCTACAGGGGGTGTAAATGAAAGTGCGCTAATTTACAAGAGATAGTTTAAAGAGAAGCCCCACTTCCGGAACAGCTCTCATTCTGAGTTAGTTTAAGAGCCAGAGTAAAAACAAGTTAACAGTGTACAAGATAGTGAGTAGAGAACAAGAGAAGAACTATATAAGACAGAGACCAAAGAACAGTAGAAAGAGGAGATATAGTGTAAGGAAGAAGAGGACTATCTAGGAGGACAGATCCTAGAGTAGAACTTTGTCTTATAGTAGATCTTGTGAAACAGTTCCTCGCATTGTGGTCCGAAGAGGAGTTGAGGGTTCCTCTGAGCCTTTGCAAATAGCTCAGGGGCTACTCTATTTGCTAGCCGGCAAAATAGTAGGTGAAATTGAGTCTTTTCTCTTCCACACTTACACTCCCCTGAAGTAAGTAGCGTGTCGAGGTGAAAGAAGCGAAGGTGATAAAGAGTAAAGTCACCGTGGCCAGAGCGAGCTGCAATTAAGCGAGCAAGAACCTCCCTTGGTAAGCGAAGTGATTGAGGCTTCGAAGACCAGTTGTTAAGCCCTAGGTCCTTGTATAAGCTTGGAAGCGTGGTTTTCCAGAGTTTCTTTGCAAGCTGAACCCCTGTCTCTTTAACTTCTCTTCTAAGTGTAGCAGTGCAGAGTATAGAAGGGGGGTCAGGAGGAGGTAGCCGAGCGCCTCTTCCCGCAGCTCTGTCCGCAATCTCATTCCCTTGAATTCCAATGTGACTAGGGCACCACCTGGTTTGAACTTTCCCAGGGTATAAAAGAGCTAACTCGTTAACCCTATTAAAGGTCCCTTGCGAGGTGCCACAGGATCGGTAGGTCAGTTGAAGTGTAGCTTCAAGATTGTCAAGGCAAATCCAGCACGTCCTTGCCGAGGGCCAGGAAGCAGAGGAAATAGCTAGTTCTAGGCCGTGTAGAGCAGCTCTAGCCTCTGCGTCGTAGATTTCAAGTGTCTTGCCAAAGGAGTAGACCTTCGTGTTAAGGATAATTCCTCCCTTTGTAAGACAAACGCCTCCCCCGGTTCTCTTGTCGTCTAAGCGAGAGCCGTCGGTGTAGACTACTAGGTCTGTAGTTGAAACAGTAGCAAGGAATTCAAGGAATTTAGCCTTATACAAGTCCTTGGTTCCTCCAGAGTCAGGCCCCCCTACCTCTAGAAGGCGAGTTTGCCGGTCAAACCCTCTATTCCAGGGAGGGTCTTGAAGATATAAGGTATAGGGGTAGTAATATACCTATACTAAGAACTATTTACTTAACCTATATTCGAATATAGTAAATATATTCTCATAATAAGAGATCTTTCGAGTTAGGATAACTTATCGTGTAAAATTATAAATAAGATAAACTTTTTATATTCTAGAAGAGAAAGAAAATTACTATTAAGCTCTTATTATACTATCTTTTTACTCTAAAGTAGACCTTATAATTACTATTCGCGTAAGATCTCTAATATCGCTTAGCTTTGTTAATTAGTTAAACAAGATTAGCTATTTATAATTTATAGAAAGTAAAGTATTTCTATTATTTATTTAGATATTTTAGAGGAAACTTTCTTCTTATGTTAATTTAGGAAACTTCTCTAAGAATATTAAACGTACGCGGTAAATATAGATATATCTCTTAGATTTCTTAAGTGTTTAGCTATATAGATAATGAATAAAAATAATTTATCTAACTAAGTAAGAGAAAATAGAAAAGAGTGCTAATACAGGCTCTAAACGGGATTCTTCATACTTAATACCGTTTTGCTTACTTTCTTAATGTACCGAAAACACTACTTCATCTTACACATGTATCATCCAAGGCTGTGTAATGTACGGGTCCCATCTATACACACCAGTAAATTTTGAAATGCCCGGATAGTTGTTGCCATGAAGCTCTGTATCATTTCAAGCTAAGTGGGGTGTACGAGAAAACTCTACTGGTCATAGGCTATCATAGGGAAATGATGGTCGTGAAAATGACATACTAACGCTGCCAGTATCCAATCAACCAAATATAAGACGTTTGGCATGTACGATACACTTATCCCACTTGTTTTCAAATACTAGAATCGTCTGCTACAGCCTCCTCAACTCTAATCAGTGAGGTTATTGTGTCGTAGTACTGCATCTCGAATTTCTCGGCGGATTTACAGAGGAGGCGGATGGGTAGAAAACTCGTGTCATGACGCTCGGCTTTGCTGGTAGATGTCCATCACATGTCTTCTAGAAGAAATTGTTCGAAAATTTTGCAGTCGCAATTCGGTTGGAAATTGAGAAAACAAAGGGAACTCGGGAACGAAGCAAAGGTGTGGTGTATAGCCTTGAAGCTCTTGATAAAGGTCCGGAAGCTCGAGGAATCCCAATATACTTTTCATCTATTGTATCAAACAGATTTTCTCTCGTATTAAAGCCAATCTCGTGCTCAGCGATTGTATCTCTCTAGAAAGCTTATATCAATAGCTTTATAGGAATCGCTGATGGCATAGAGGGCGCAGAAGGCCCCTAGGAGAAAGGAGAAAGCCATTTGTGTCTTTGATGGAGGTTGTTTTGATTGAATGGTGGTTTTGATGGTCGCTTAAGATAGAAAAATGTCTGAACTGGTGAATAGCACCAAGACAGATTGAGATCGGAGAAACTTTATAAGATACTCCGATTGGAGGTCGTAGCAACCATTTTCCGCTAGTCCAAAGTTGATAAGCGAAATTGCCTGGTTTTGTTCCAATGGACGTGGTAGCTAAACAATCACTTGCCTTTGTATCTCTTCCTCCATCGCGTCACTCCTCCTCTTTTGCCAAACCTCAACTCTCCCAGACAACAATAGTCAATTCTAGCATACAGCGGAAACTCTGCGCGTCCTTAAGCGAGGAGATTCTGACAGGACTGACCATCGATCCAGCTACGAGGCACAGCGAACAAGGCTCAGAGTGGAAAGCGCAGAAGGTTTGAGAAAGAGAAACCAGTACGGGATTTGCGCGGTGTGGTTTCTCGCTTCAACCTTCTTGCTTTTGCAATTCAAACGTGTTACTCTCAATACTCCGCAGTTGTTGGTTCTCCTCAATTGAGGGAAGGAGACAATGTCAGGACAGGACTGGCATAACAGAATGGAGCGCCTGACACTCTCAAATTCACAACCACCAGAGCTCACAGGCATACGTAGTGAGGGGATTGAAGAGGGCGCTGTTGTCAATGTACCATATGGAGCGCTCTCAGAGGGGCCTGAATTTGCACCATTTCCAAGATTACCCCTGGAGATTCAGTTGAAGATCTTTGCGCTCACATGGCCTGCTGGACAAAGAATCGTCGTAAGCTGCACAGAGGTCCATACCAGTAGCGAGGCCACTGCTCTAGCCACCCTCTATGTCTGCAGCAACAGCAGGAAAGAAACACTGCGCAGCTTCAGGTGCATTGGATTTCAGTCTTCTCTGACACGCAGACCCCAGTGGTTTCAATCAAAGGCGGACACTTTATATTTGCACGCGCGTGTTGCGCTTTCGCCGGTTTTTCTGGTAAGCAATTCTTTCTTTCACAGTTGTTTGTTTATTGAGATAGCATCCTGACTTTTCTTTACACCCACCCCTCTTGACAAAAGTATACTAATTTGTTGATCTAGTTCTGGAGACATAACCATCTACGGCAACCATTGGAGGCGGCTAAGAACCCCTTCAGACACGTTAAAAAGTTGCATATCTACCGCCCTCTGTGGTCTTACAACAGACCTTCTCCTCAAATCGCCAATTCCCAGTACGATCCCAACGAAAAGCTGGTGCTGGATCATTGCACAGAGCTGGAACATATCTTTTTGATGGTAGCAGATGGAGTGTCTACAATATTTGAGCTTGCAGAAGACGGACCAGGCGAACGGCCCATTTCAGGGAAGGATTTGAATGGTATGCGGGAAATTGCTGGAATGCTTGAGAGCTATCTCATTCGTCGAAAGGAGATTGACGATACTCTACCTGTTCCAAGAATATCCATTGGGGGTATGGATCTCGCATGATTCGGCACAGATGGCAGATAACGTCCAGCTCTCTGTGGACCTGCGATAGCTGGGAGGAACAATTCATTTGGTTGTGTTACTCGGAAGGAAATCTCAGATAAATTCATGTTGAGCGATTCAACGTAGAGCTCATCCTCAATTACATGGAATCTTCCTTCTTTGTCAATCGAAGCGGTCGGGGTGCGAGACGGGAATGAGAAGTTGATAGAAAGGCTTTGGTGTATCAGTCGCGGGAATGAGTTGGAGCTGAGTGGCTGTTTTGAGAAGTGTACTATAGAAGTTCTTGTGCCGAAATATTATTATGAAGCGTGATCGGAATTTCAAGTGGTGCCAAAGGGATCATTTTCGGTTTGCGTGGCTATGATCCCCTGGGTTGTTGCAAGACGAATCCTTGAGTGGATATTACTCAAAGGTCAACCGCTTCAAAGCTTGCTTCGTACTGCTGATAAGATCCTCCAAGGTCTTTGCAACGGTTATACCAAGCTTGTTGCAGAAAACTTGTACATTGCCGCTATTCTTGTACTCATCCGCACAGCAAACCACGATAACTTTTCCCCGTCCAGCAACAAATCCCAACTCCATCAGTGATATTGACGCTTCTGTATTTACTCCCAAATTTACCACTACAATATCTGCTTGCTCCAAGGCGTTGAGCTCCCATGTCACTTGATTGACAAATTTCGAATCCGTAAGGCTCGCTTTCCACGTAGAATCCCAATCTCGGCGTAGAGGATTGATGATTGTGACAGGCAAGTGAGAAAGCTCTTCTGATAGATTGTCACGCCAACAATCATCAGCGGGAGATATGAACCCGGAAAGAAAGATAGATGGAGATTGGAGGGGTGATGGGAGGGGTAGAGGAGCCTTGATAATATTCGCTCTTGGATGAGAAGCAGCTGTGGCCTGCAAAGAGGGGTTCGATTCAGGTGCCGACATGATCGTCAATCAGAGCTTTGGCCTACTTGGAAAATATACATGTATTCGAATTTTGGTGCGATTTTCAGTTCAGTCGCACTGATCCATTTGAGCCCTCGCTGAAGCTGGTGAGACCCTTATTGTTGATGATGTGGATTTGGTGAGGTTCAGCAGTCGTCAAAATGTAAGCGAAAGCCCGCAGCTGCAGCGAAACCTACTGTACGAGTACGGTTTACTGCGTGTGGACGGTTCCGGCATCAACGGGTCAATAACATGTCACTCAAAATCTTTATCCCAACACACTACTGACATTATTAAAAGATTCCTGTCTCTGCATTGAGATTTTCCAATTTCTTCCATCTGGTCTATCGTTAACTCTTACACATAACATGAACCAAGGGCTTGTCATCAGACTCTTCTCCTTTCCAGTGGCCAGACCTGAAGGCGCCATGAAAGAATATGCCAACAACTACAATCCCGGCGGCCCCCCTCAAATCCTAGTCCACCGCACTATTGACGGGATAAGCGTTCAAAGTCAAGTATTCTGGAATGCCCACTCTCATGTGATCTTTCAATTGGTTGCGCTTGAAATAAGGTTATTTAGCGTTTATGTGTGTTGACGGAACGGCTCGTCCCCTACCTTACTGTGACTACAACGAATTGGAAAGGAACTCAAAAGCATCAGTTCCTTCAAAACTTCTTATCTTGAAACAAATAGCGAACGATTCCACTTGATCGACGGGAAAAGTTTAATTTATTATCTGCATCTAGTTGAAAGCATCAATCAAGTTAAGCTTGGTCCAGACCAGCCGTTTGTAGAGACCTTTGTGCCTGTATATACTCTATTCAATACTGTAAGAGATACGCTTGCAGCTACAATTGGTGATTCCGGAATCCGAATATTTGCTCGTCTTTCTACGTCAAAATGAAGAAGTTGCAGAACTCGATTAGTTATGTTTTCAGTTGCAGAACTCGATTAGTTATGTTTTCAGTTGTCTGAATCGTCTTCTACCTGTATCCTGCCCCACTTCTTGTGGCCCGTCACTGTACCAAAACTGCGGGGTTTTCTCTGGGACACAAAAACAATCTTTACTATAGGGTTAGAATAGTTCGTTGGTTAGTATATATTTCAAATGGCCATGGCTCGACTCACGATATTCCAGACTTCATAAGATGCCAAGATACTGTATGTTTCTTATATCTGCTGGGAAATACCCGTTGCTGCGTTCGAAATTTTGCGGGAGAAGTACCTGATTTCAAGAGGAAGGCTGGCAGAATTGGGCGCCCAAAAATGATTTGCATTCAGGATAAAAGCGCCTGCGGGTGCTGAATATAACAGCCTAGGATGCTACCACGACGGGTAGAACCTCCAACCTATCACGACCTTTTTGGCGGAAATAGTACGGTCCATTGATACCTTCTACGGATATATAGCAGGGTAAGAAAGGATACGAACCTTCTTATTTCGGACGAAATGACCTTAAATTCCATAGCATGTTGTCAAACCTGCCTACATAGAACCTCTCGATCCATCGAAGCTCGATTTCTAGGAGCTCGCCTAGCAACTTGGTGTCCTAATGAGCACCAAATATGCATCTCTCCGCGGCTCGTTCTACAACCTTCCTCTATGGGATAGACGGGGAATCAAGCAAGCCAAGCGATCGCGGATCTGGCGCCGAGCACGAATGCTTACGCCAATCCCAGTGCTTGAATTGAAAGTGGCCAATGAACCCATGCGAAAAAGATAAGCATTAGGATTTCTAACTTGGCTGCGAGGGCGGAAGGGGGTTCCACTTCAGGAAGCTCCAGGGGTTAAGTGGTGGGGTTGCTGGGGCGAGACTATGGTTCTTGGTTTGCATCGGCAGGTACTCGCTGGCTCTGTCAGAAATGTTTGTCTGTACCTGGCTCGCCTGGGTCTTATAACCGCTGAAGAACCCCGCTCTGGAGAATATAAGAAGGAACGTATCGACGTAAGAAACATTTTGGGTCATTCCTGTTACATTTCGGCTTTTCTGGTTGTCATCATGGTTTCCTTCAAGAGTGTCTTCGTTGTTCTCGCTATTTCGACTTCGACTTTTGCTTCACCAGCTACTCAAAAATGTAGTGTGGCAGAGAAACTCTCCGGGCCCCCTTCTGGGTGGGAGATTGATTCCGGCAGCAGAATTGATAAAGAGAAAGGAACGATCAAGTTGAGAATTGGTTTGGTTCAAGAGAACATGAGCAAGTTTCATGAAATGGCCATGAGAGTATGTTGCTCTTTTTCTCAAATATACTCGAGTCACTGGCTCCGATTTTCTCTCTGCTGTCCCGCACATGTCGCAGAAACTTGGCAGGAAGGCGTTTGAGAACTCCACTCCAGAGCTAATACCGGTTCAGATTGCAACTCCAGGAGATGAAATGTACGGAGCACATATGGCTCAGCATGTCATTGATAAAATCATTGCGCCCAAATCAGAGTCTAAAGACCTGGTTATGCAATGGTTGGAAGGCGAGGGATTGAGAGATGTTGCTACACTCTCCCCTCGATTGGACTCGGTTGTCGTTGAAGGCAGTATCAAACAAGTTGAAAAACTCTTGAAGGCAGAATACAGCGCTTTCGGTAAGTTATGTTTTCAACTTCACGTCTCTATGTCTCAATTGCGACTTTCTTGAGTTGAAACTTGTACATGAACTGGATCTTTGCTTACAATAAATAGTTCACAGCGAGAGCCATGATAGCGTCATCAGAACTCTCGAATACAGCCTCCCAGATATCCTCAAAGGCCATGTCGACGTAGTTCAACCAACCACTGTCTTCGGGTTAAAGTCTATGAGATCGATGATCAAGGATGTCAAACCTTATACCGAAGAGGAGGTAGATAACATTATGGCTGACGTTGATGCGCAAGCCGTTGCAGGTTGCACTGGCAGCAGTATCACACCAGCTTGTCTAGCAAACCTGTACAGCTTTTCAAATGCCGCCAACGAGAGCGTAGGATTGATGGGAATTGCCGGTTTCCTCCGACAACACCCTATCCAAAGTGATCTCACAACCTTCATGAACCGATACGCGTATTTTGCCAACAAAGCTCAGAAGTTCACATGCGCGTTGCTCAATGGAGGAACTTGCCCCACATCCGACAGTACAAACAACATTGTCGAGGCCAATCTCGATGCCCAGTACGCTCGCGCTATCACTTCTAACATCCCCAACATCTACTACAGTGCTGGTGGAAATGGACCTTTTGTGGGAGGCGGTGAGAACACCAACGAGCCATGGCTTGAGTGGCTGAACTACATGCTTGCTCTCCCCGACTCCTCCCTCCCAAACACAATCTCCATTTCTTACGGAGACGACACCTTGAGTCTCCCCAACAACTACATGGTCGCCCAATGCAACCTCTTTTCCCAACTTGGTGCTCGTGGAGTTTCAGTTCTCGTTGCGTCTGGCGATAGTGGAATCGGTTCAACTTGCTCCCACTCAGGTCAAAGACAATTCGATACCAGTTTCCCAGCTGGCTGTCCATGGGTTACCACAGTGGGTGGAACAACCGGAACCACAACTGAAGGAGCCTGGTCCTCTGGTGGTGGCGGCTTCTCGGAAGTCTTCGCCCGTCCTTCTTACCAAGATTCAACTGTCACCTCCTGGCTCTCGAGAGATACCGCACACACCGCCTACTCGACTTATTTCAACTCTTCCGGTCGTGCGTACCCAGATGTTTCCGCTCAAGCAGTGAACTTCCTCGTTGTCTTGGGTGGATCAGCTTCTGGTGTTAGTGGGACAAGTGCTTCATGCCCAACATTTGCCAGTGTCATCCAATTGATCAATAGTCAAAGAGTGGCATCTGGAAAGAAGGGATTGGGATTCTTGAACCCATGGCTGTATAGTTCTGCTGCATCGGCCATGAACGATATCACTACTGGTAGTATCAGGGGGTGTTCGAACATTGGTTCCGGGGCTGGTTTTGTAGCTAGAGCTGTAAGTCTTCCTCCTTGGTTGGTAGCTTATTCATGAATATCACTAACTTTCAATAGGGATGGGATCCCGCTACTGGACTTGGTTCGCCAAATTACACCAAGTTGTTGGCTGTCTCGCAGTCTACAGCATGAAAGAACGATTAATGAATAAATCATGTTTCCCAGATACACCTTACGGGGAACTGTATATAAATATTCTTGTCTGATAATGATTTAACATATACATATTTGACTGTGTTCCTGTGTTGCATGCCTTAGGTTCTGTCACTTGTAAACCGTGGCAAAGCTTTAAAGCAAGTTTCAAGGAGTGTATAATCTATCCCTCACTCCGTAAATCAACAAAACAGGTAGGCAGAACGTTCTAATAAGATTTGTTATAAGAATTATCGCCTATCAAAAATTGTAAAATACCACTGGCTAAACTTAATCAGGACGTTCTGCCTCCCAATTGAGTCAATTTACGGAGTAAGGTACTAAGGGATATAGCTGTATCACTTATTCCCATTTTCCACCCCGCTGAGTTTTACCAGGAAAGCGAGCGACCGAATTCGGTGGATATTCACTATGTGCAGAAAGTTCCATAGCAAATCGAGCCCGCGGTAACTACGAGTCAATTCACAAGTTATTTAGGAAAGCTATTGGATTTGTGGTCATGGAAGTGTGGCATTCAGTCGAACTAGCTAGGATAGAGAGTCTAGAGACGATTTTATCCAAGTACTAAATACAGTTTCTAGCGCTTGGGCCACTAGCGCTTTCACTGTTGAGCTCACTTCTCAACAAAAGCTATAATTTTCCAGAAATCCAAAACCGAAAATAATACTGTGGCTAAAAACCCTTCTCAAATCCCATCCAACCCCTCTAACTCACCCCTCTCTGATCCCTTAGATTACTCAAAAAACATTTCAAAGTAATCCTCCTAAAGGAGCATGTCTATGCCCAATTCACCGACCTCTTCATAACCCCTTTTTTCTCGCTCGCTTAATAAAGATAGTTTACTGAGACCTCGTATATCCACACTCACATCCACATTCACATCCACATCCACAAATAAACAAAAACACACAAAAGACACTACCAAAAATACCCCAGTATCATTTCCAAACCCAAACATTTCCCACCAAACCCTTTAATACTCATATCTTATCAAGAAGTTTATACATCCTGAATTCCACTTTATCTTACAGTACCTATCTCTACTCACAACTCCCAGTCCAATTCACATCAATATCAACATCAACATCAACACCCAAACCCTCCTATAACCAAATTTCAAATTCCAAAGCCTAAAAATATAGCTAGCGTCCCTTCCACCCCTCCTTTCTTCTCAAAAGCCATACACTCCTATACACTCCATCCTAAACTACCTATCCTACGCCTTACAACAACCTCCCCACAACTGACTCGCTAGTAAATCAAATTTCACTGAAACCACCCACCTAAATATTTCTAGTTATATTTCACTGCACATCCCCTTTCCTCGCTCGCTTAACAAATTTACTTTAGCTAATTAGAGAAAACTAGATCTTCGAACTTTTATATCTAAAAGTTAATAATAGAAACACGGGGGGATTATTAGCGATATTAGTAGTCTTTTATAGTTAGATTAGATTTTAATTCGTCTCTACTCACTACTCCTAGTCTAATCTACATCAACATCAACATTAACACCCAAACCCTCCTATGCCACCAAATTCCAACCCCAAAGCCCAAAAATGTGACTAGCGTCACTTCTAAGTTCCACTCCCTCCTTTCTTCCTACAATCCTATATTAAACCACACAATTCCTCCCAGCCCACCTATACTACCCTTTTCCGCATCCCACCCCTCACAACAACCTCCCTACATCCCTACAACTAACTCACCAACAAACCAAATCTTACAAAACCACCCACCCATCCATCCATTCCCCGCCTATATTTTACTATACTCCACGTCCTCTTTCCTCTCTCGCTTAACCAAATTCCTTTAGCTAATTAGCGAGATAAAATCTTCGGATATTTATATTTACAAGTGAATCGAAAAACACGTGGAGGTGTAAGTGATGATAGTGATATCCCGATATGTCCATTCAGTTCGATTCCGATCATATTATTTCCACTCTTTACTCCTCTTACATCCACATCCACATCCACATCCCAGTTCACATTCCCATCCCTACCCTCCCGTAATACATCCATCCCCATCCTTCCCTAATACATCACAATATCATATCATAATAGACACATAAGATCCCCACCCTAAACTTCCTCAAAGCATACTACACCCCTACTTCCCCACCTCCCATCCCCATCCTCATCCTTCTACTTACAGGTTTACGATTTAACCACTAATTAATTAGCGATTCAGAAGAGGATGTAGAATCTAAATCCGAAACTTTAAATCAAATCTCAAGTCTCGAAGTGTGTCGATTGGTTTTTATTCAGTACACTATCCCCACCTTCTCCTCACACCCTCCCTCTCTCTTTTCACTTCAAGCCCCCGACCCCCCACCCCTTCCCCATAACAACTCACTAAAAACAATAACAGAACAAAATAAAACAAAAAACCCTCACATACACACACACCCCCACCCAATCCCTCCAAAAAAAACCCCCCAAAAAGAAACCCTTCAATACCTAATACACACAACCGTATCAATCCACCATCCACCATCTACCATCCACAATCCCTCCTTATACAGTACCCATATACCCGTATACCCGTGTAGTATATTATCCCCAAGAACTCTATTACTTTCCTCGTTGGTGATTGGTGATTGGTTATAAACTGTTTTNTTTTTTTTTTTTTTTTTTTAAGAAAGGGAGATAAGAGAGATGAGATGGGATAGGATGGTATAAGATAGGATAAGATAAAAGGAACCTTTGGGTTTAATGTATAGTAAGGTTACTTATAAACTTCATTCTACTATATTATATATTTATATATCTATTAAGAGATATTGGGATATTGCCCTTAGCACGGTACTAATAACCATATATAACCATACTCATACTAATACTCAAATCACACAGTACAATAACAATCTACCAAACGAACAACGAATCCGAATGCCATTACATCTCTCTCCTCTCCCACATCTCCATCCCATATCTTTTCACACACATTCCAACCCACTAACCCACTCCCCATACCCCCCTCACCCCCCCTCAAAGTACAATTACAAACTCCCCCCTCACACCTACATAACAACACACCCCTGCCCACACCCAAGACAACACTGTCCCATCCCCTGACAACACCCCCCCCTCACATCCCCACCACAACACCCCCTCTTTTTCCCCGAACCCTCCACCTTCTCCGCCTCAGGTGGTCGATTGCCGCCTGAGTCCGTGTAGGTGTCTGGTTCGACGCGGGGACGGGGGAGGGGTTTGTATTGTTCTTTTTGTGGTTGTTCTTTTTGAGGTTGTGGATGGGAAGGTTGATTCGGGGATTTGGGAGGTTGATTCGGGGATGGTGGATGGAGTTGTGTTTGTGAAGAATGACTATGTGCGTATAGAGGCGTGGGGTTAGGTCTTGTGCGTCCTGTACCTGCTCCTATACCTCTGTTCTTACTCTTGCCCTCCCTCTCCCTCTCCCTCTCCCTCTTAACGTTCCCATTCAAATCCCCATTCGAACTCGCATATCTAACACCTCCTCCTCCTCCACTTCCATTCAAATCCCCATTCGATCTCGCATATCTAACACCTCCACCACCATCTCCGCCTGAAAGATTAACCTTCGAGTTCGAACCCGCATACACAGAAACCGGGTACGGAGCCGTATGCGCATGCGGAGATCGCTGCGGTTGCTGTTGCTGCTGTTGCTGTTGATTTTGAACCCGATGATCTCTTTCCTCTGGGAACTCTAGGTGAGCGGATGGGTCGGTGGGGTAGGGTAGGGCCATGTTTTCTCTTTTTATTTCTTTCTCTGGGTGATGATGATGATGATGATGTCTGTTGATGTTGATGTCGATTTCGATGTTGCGTCTTTTTCCTTGAGTTTGTGGGTTTGTGTGTTGGTTCTCTTTCTTTTGCTCAGATACAGACTCTCCGTCTCTCTATCTCTGTCTCTGTATCGTGGGTGTATATGTCGTGTCGTGAATCCGATACAATCCGATCCAATCTCAGTCGCAATGATAATCACACCTGATCTCACGTCCTCTCTTCCAATTCGATTCCAATTCGATTGCGATTCCGATTCCAATTCCAATTCCAATCCCAGATCCAATTCCAGAAACGTAACGTGTCCAATCCAATCCAATCCAATCCAGTCTCGTCTCCTCCAGTCTTGTTCAACCCTCACTTCCTAACCTCAAATCCAAATCCGTATATTTCCTTATCTCAATCTTCGTAATCACCAAACCCTCAAAACCTCAAAAAATCGTCACAAAAAACCAACGTTGAAAGACAAAAGAACACACAGAAACAAACCCAAGAAAACCCCCAACCTACAGCACCTCCGTACGTACCCGGGAGATCCTCCCCAAGACGTCAGCACACTCAATACTCCGTACCTCCATCCAATTTCCACACAGCCTTGTGGAGTCCCCTCACCCACACGATAAGATTAAGCCCAGGCCAGCCCATAGCCCCATCGCATCCTCCCTCACTACAGAAAAGCTACTTAACGGTTAACCGAGGTAACTTACTCGTACGCACCGTTTCAAACCCAGCAGATCACCTCTTATCATCACTTGGCCCAGTTCCAAGTCACGTACAGTACGAATCCTCTCCAGAATCCGCCATCGAAATCGCAAGTTTCCGTTTCGACCTTTCAAAAATTCCAACCTTGCCAAACTTTTCGGAACCTTTTGGTGACAAATAAATAATGTGAAAAGGGTCCGGGCGCTGAGGGCTGTGAAAGGAAACAGTGGCGGGGTAACTTTGAGTGCTGTACGGGATCACCGAAAGCAAGAAAACCAAGTTCTCAACAGCGGAGAGCGTCACGGAAATTGGGTACTGCAACGAAAGTTCTTTCATGGGGGACAGGTGAGGAAGGTGGAGTTAGATAGACGCCGTATCAGGAATTCAGTCATCACTCTACGCTCCATCCTGCGAGTATTTTCATTTGAATAAGCTGACTATGGAAGCTTGATTTTCCGCCACGGTACCCCGGTCTTTGACCAAAATACGAAGGTTAAATCTAGCGAGACCATAATCACCAGATGTTCCGTGAATACTTTCAGATGATCAGATCTTGACTCCTCCCGTCGACTCTGGCTCCGACATCTTTTCTTCTACCGCATCCTTTACTTCCGCAGCTTTTACTTCCGCAAGCAGTTGTGCCTCGGGAGTTTCTATGGACTCTTCCTCCACGAGTATGGTAACTTTTGCAGCTGCGGTTGATTCCTTATTTTTTGGCTCCTCAATTTTCTGCTCCTCGGTTTTCGCTTCTTCTGTAGAGACCAGTTCTTCAACAGGTTTCGTTTCTGGAACATCCTCCTCAGTCGGTAAAGGTTCCGACTTCTCTCCAATTACAGCTGTCTCCTCGATTGCTGGTATTTCCTCGTCTCGCCTCCAGTATATTATGGTGTCAGAAAAATCACTTCTGATCTGTGGAAAAGGGATCTTCTCGTAGCCATCAACCATGACTTGCAAAGTCTTGTTAGCCTCACTTTCTTCTTTTTCTCTGAAATTGATATCAGTAAAGATTGGTGGGTGCCTTTTGAGACTGGATGATTGAAAGAAAGACTTACATCCTTGAGGACTCAAACATTTCCATATCCGTACAAATCATCACAGCAGCATTTTCTCTCTTGCCAACCTTTTCGTATATATTGGCATAACAATGAATTGCGTAGACCAGTGTATTTCCATCAATATGTTCGAAAGCTTCCGGGTCAGGAAGAACGGTATATTCAAGTTTCTGGAGGTACTCGGTGTCGAGAGATGTGAACGCTGGATCCTGGAGGTAGACGGGTATTTTTGTTTCCCTCCCTGTTTTGTATTAGCATATCCCCCTCTTGTTCGCAACGCTTCGACAGGAATTGTGGTTAGAGCTCACCAAAGTTCTCCAGAATGGACTCCAACGCAACAAGTTGCGTAAAAGAAGCTTTCCTCCCCTCTCCCCTCGCATTCTGTAAACTCCCTAAACCAAGCACCACCACATTTTTTATCTTCTCCTTCTCGCCTTCTGTCTTCTCCTCGAGTAGTATCCTCACCCTTCTGCACGCTTCGCTTTGACCCCATGCTTTCCGCGCCCTCGTATATTCAATCTCCAATTCTTCCTCTGTCCGATTGACATAATATGCATTTCCGAGTTTGAAATCTGCTGCGATAGCCCATAACTCTTTCGCTTCGTCTTTTTCGGAGGGAGGGGCAATTGATCTTGGTTTCGACGGCTTGTCGATGACGTGGACCCAGCCTTCTTCGTCAAGAACTTCCTTGCGTTTTGTGTGTGTGATGAGTGGTTTCTTGGGTGCGGCGCTGGTGCCTTTCTTTTTGCGATTTGTGTGTGGCATTTTTGCGATTTCTCTACCGAGGTAAGAAGTCGATTGTGTGAATGTCTATTTTTGTCCTGGCTGTTTGGCGCAATTGAGCCTCTTCTGCAAAAAGTTTGCTATTCCTTCCCAAGCCCTCGGTTCGATAGTGTGGCGGGGTTACACTCGTTTCCGAAAGATACAGTATGTAGGACGATGACGAAGTGCTGGGTTCTGCTGACCAAAAGAAATAGATCTCGAAAATATTTCGGTCTTTTCGATTAACCAGATTAGGCTGCTTCGGTAGGGAATTCTGTAGCGTGCGGGAGGTGATATGCAGGTGAGGCGGTTTACGCGATGGTGGGATGTGTGAGATTTGGAGGGGGAGATTTCCAAAAATAAAAATTATCGACGGCAGATGAAGACTTCCATCACCGCTTTCCCTATGGGGGCTGGTGGGGGCGATGATGGCCTCAGGCCAGTGTGTTGATAAGGCACCTGCATCCACGGAGCGCCTCCCGGTCATACTTTTTCCCCGTCCGCACGCAATCCTTGAGCCGCGGCGACGGGATGGCGAAGCGACGGATTGTGATGGGTATGAAGTTGTGATGAACAGAAAGGTGATGTTCAAACAGACGCTCCTTCAGTCCAGTCACTACTCGCCTTTGACTATCGAGTACCTGGGCTAAGTGAGCTCGGTACGAGTCCACATGTACTTACTACCAGGTAGTCCAGAGCCGCAGAGCTAGAGTCAAGCTAAAATGGATATGAAGGGTGTCAACCGGGAATAGGGAGACTTACCTAGGTAAGATGGGGAGACTCGACCACCTGCCGTACGACCGACAGAAGAGCGAATGAGAAGGAAGAAAAGAGTGCTATGGATAGGAGTAGAGGGACAGAAGAGTGCTGTCGATGTCCCCATTCCTCGGTTGTCTGCCAGTTCTGGCTCTATTTCGAGAGCTTTCCCCTCCCCAGCAGGCAGGTGCAGGTGCATCTGCAACCACCACTACACCCCACCAGAAGAAGCTGGAGAACACGCACCACTCAAGTAACTCGAGTAGTAGTGAACCCTGAAATCTGACTTCCAGACGGGAGCTCGCTACTGATAGGCCCAGATGTGTGCCCTTCTGCTTCCTGGTTGCCGTTATCCCGTATCGTCCCTTCCTCTTCTTGATCCTTCCTTCCCCATCCCCATCACCAACTTCATCCCAACATAATGCGACACAATACACAGCAATGAGCAGTGATCACCCTGGAAGTAAGCGGTTACCCATACTGATGGGAAGGTGCGATGGAGAGTCGATGAGGGTGTTACCATTGTGTGGCCTTCTGCAGCCGCTGACTCGGGAAGAAGCTCACCTCACTTCCACCCACCCTTCACTTTACTCTACTCCGTAGTCGTAAGTGATTCTATGGGCAGTGAACCGTTGCCGCCGTGAAGTTCGTGCATAAAATCCCGGGCGCATCCAGAACCCCTCCATCTCCCTCATTGGCTCTGTAGGAAGAGAGGCTATTCCGGTTGGGGGCGGCCATGCAGAGATTCTGCGTCTGCTCCCCTGCCAGCAGTGAGAATAATGCTGGTCGCGGGGTCTGATTGGTCGTCTGCAACCGCTGGCTGCACCTCACCCTCCACCTCCTCACTCCAACTGCAATTCGCTGCGGTTGCTCTCTACAGGTCGTGGTGGCCAGCACTGGAGGGGAGAACATAAGGGCGCTGACAGCCAAGATGGTTGCATTTCTAAAGACCTCCAGTCCCAATACCCGACCGCTGACTGACTTGCCCTCTTGACGATTCCTCTCCAGCGTCTTGTTCTGACTTGGCCCTCACTTCGTCGTCTTGCTCTCTGTATCTCCTCCTCAACCAGCATACTAGTATCTCGTTTTCGCTTTGACCGTATATTCCTGGTTATTGCGAATAGTATCGTCGATACTGGATTTCACTCTCACCCGATTCCCGCCTTCTTGCGCTGAAAAGATCTTACCGCGAGGGAGATTATATAATCACCAAAATGTTTTCCAGAATATCATCATGTCTTGCCGTGGCCGCCATGTGTTGGTCCGTGGTGGAAGCGCATACAGTTCTCACATACCCGGGATGGAGAGGAGATAATTTGGTCACGAATGCTACTTGGCCATATGGAATGCAATGGATATATCCTTGTGAGTAGCTCTGATTTCATTCCATATTTCTTCAACAATAAGCATTGTTGAATGTTGGACTTTCTCTCCATCTCTTCCACCAACATGGTCTCGCCGCGAATTTCTTTTGTACGACCCCAACCACCTGTCTCCCCTTCCCAGTATCCAACTCCAAGCCCCAAAGGAATCTTCATCTAACAATCCTTTGTTTCAGGCGGCGGGCATTATACAACTACCAACCGAACAAAATGGCCAATAACAGGAGGTGCCATCTCTCTTCAACCCGGATGGTTCCAAGGTCACGGAACTGCATTTTTCTACATGAACATGGGATTTGGAACTGATGGACCAGACAATGGACCACCAAACATGTCTTTCCCAATGGTTCCCGTCTTCCAAATCGTTGGTCCATCAAAAAATCCATACCCGGGATCTTTCTGCTTGCCACAAGTGCCATTACCTGCGAATATCACAGTAAAGCCGGGAGATAATGCGACCATCCAAGTCGTGGAGACAGCATTACATGGAGCTGCTTTGTATTCGGTGTGTTTTACATACTCCAAGATATCCGATACCATAGACTAACAGAAAACAGTGCGTCGATATCACATTTGCTGACCCGAGTGATCCGGAAATCAATGAAGTCAACGAAACCAATTGCTTCAACGATTCATCCATCACCTTCAACAACGTCTATTCCATCGCAGCATCCTCAACAAGTGATGCGCAACGAACACTGGAGATTGCGACTTACCTTCCTTTGCTTGTCTTGGGATTATGGGCGTTGTTGTAGTTGCTGTACGCCACTGGCTTGCTTATACGAGTGATATAAGAAGAACGAGGGTCTGAGTGGAGGCATGGCGCGAGGACATATGCTTATTCTTTTTTCGAACAACCTACATGGTCAACCTACAGCACCAGCTCACACTCAAAGCCAAACATAACTGAGGATTGAGAAAGAAACTTCGCTTCTCGTATACGCCCGTCCTGGTTATCGGCCAACATGACGACCTCGCCACATCATCTTCTTACGACACAATTCAGTCTGACATAACACGACATACATCTCACCACCTACCAACCAACCTCACCCCATCATCCAAAACCAACAATCTTCAATCTGTCAATAATTTCCCTTCGCTATATCATAACTTATCTGTATATCCATGGCGTTTTATCGGAAGTTTGGGTTTGCGTACCTCCTAGGCTTGGGAAGGACGTATGGGTACCATCTTTTTTGGGTTAATTGTTTCTTTCGTTCCTGGGTATCTTTGTGAACGGAAATGAGAGAGGAAAATGAGGGTGATGATCACAGGGAAAGGAAAGGAAAGAATGCGGGAAAGGGAGAGTGAAAGGAAAGGAAGGACATTCTCTAGTTATGGTCATATCCGTATCGAGTGCCTGATATCAAACCAAGCCTTCAGAATCTCAAAAGACATTAAAGATTTCAAAAATCCATCTTATAAACCAACGAGAGCTTTTCCCATCAACAGCATTCTCATCGCTCAATAATAGCAAATAAATATCACCTATCTACCTCCGCTCCTTCGGTACTAGTATAAGTTACAATAGCATTAGCACCTCCTCCGTACCTATAAGTAAGACTATACACGAGTAGGGACTTAGCTACCTACCTATCTAGATCCACATACTCCAGCATATAAACCTCGGACTTAATTATCAACTTATTATAGATAATATATATCTATTATATTACCTATTCTAATATTTATTTATTAATATATAAAAGTTAAGTTACTATAATAGTATTATTTCTTTATTTCTTTATAGATTTATAAGATCCACGGATACTTTTTCCAGAATCTACGCTAGGTTCTCTTATACAAGATTCACAATTCCAATTCCGTCCCGTTATTTATTCCTTCCATTCATTTAGAGATAAAGAAATAAATTGATAACCCAACCGAGATAATTATCTACCTACCTACCTACCTACCTACCTATCTAGGTCCATCTCTCGATATGATATTATATAGTAAATCCTATAATATAATACAATATAAGATAATATAAAGTTAAATCTAGTACTAGGTATATATCTATCTATCTATCTAGACCCCTAAGAAGAGAAGAAAAGGGGGGGATTTAGGAAAGAAGGAAGAAAGGAAGGGGTGATAAAAAGGAAGCTAAGATAAGGTAAGTAAGTAGATAGCAGGGAAGTATAACTAAAGAGGGTTAACGCTCGGTATCTAGAATTCTATTCTATTCCAGACACCCCCCCCCCCTAGAATATTCCGTTCCTTCTATAGGAAGGTCTAGAATTATTCTATTCTATTACCTCGATTCTATAGAAGTTCTATAGAATCTTATACGTGATATAGAAAAAAGATAATCTAGCCCCGCGGACTAATAAAAAGTCTTAATAATATTAAATATTATAGATTCTTATTAATACTATTAATACTATAAGTCAACTATTACTATATCGCCTCTATATACTACCCTAGGTAGGTAGAGAGCCTCTATATTATCTAGTAGCTCTTCTATACCTCGAATATCGCTAAACTATAATCGTAGGCGTAGTACTACTAGCTCTTAGAATAGTTAAATAAATAAACGAATATATTCGGATATATTTTTATTTTATTCTAGCCTTTTAGAATTATTTATATTCTAATTTATTTATATTCTAAAAATATTAATTATTCTAAAATACATTCTTTAGAATATTAAATATATTCGTATTCTGTGAGACGGTTAGCGGGGCGCGGGTTCCGGGGGGTCTGCCCGGGTGAGTTTAGCGGTGCTCGTTCTGGCAACGCGCGGGCCCGTGCGTCGCCGTTTTCGGTAAGGCGTACTCGCTTCGCTCCGACGCTGCTTTTCGACGTCGTCCATAAGAACCCTCTCTCTCCCCTTCCACTTTGGTCGTAACTCTCTTACCTGCTATCTTCACGCTCACTCATGGTCCTGTCTTTTCCGCCCTCTATCCGCGGCGCCTAGTCTGCCTCATTTCGATGCTGGTCTCATCTCCCTCCGTGCCTTTCTATACGAGCTAACTTATGCTATAGTGGATAGACACTCTACGAGGACGATTGTCGGCTCATTTCATCTAGCTGCGAGGGCACGAATTTGATCAACTGTATTCTGTGAGACGGTTAGCGGGGCGCGGGTTCCGGGGGGTCTGCCCGGGTGAGTTTAGCGGTGCTCGTTCTGGCAACGCGCGGGCCCGTGCGTCGCCGTTTTCGGTAAGGCGTACTCGCTTCGCTCCGACGCTGCTTTTCGACGTCGTCCATAAGAACCCTCTCTCTCCCCTTCCACTTTGGTCGTAACTCTCTTACCTGCTATCTTCACGCTCACTCATGGTCCTGTCTTTTCCGCCCTCTATCCGCGGCGCCTAGTCTGCCTCATTTCGATGCTGGTCTCATCTCCCTCCGTGCCTTTCTATACGAGCTAACTTATGCTATAGTGGATAGACACTCTACGAGGACGATTGTCGGCTCATTTCATCTAGCTGCGAGGGCACGAATTTGATCAACGACTAAGCAGCTGCGTTAAGTAAGAGAGTCAATGTTTCAAGCACTTACTCAATAGGTTTCAAACGCTCTACATCTAGAATTCCTCTTCTCGCGAGATCTTTCGACCCGCGCATCTCGTCGTCTCCTTTCGATTCTCTAATCCTTGATCTGTTACTTTCCTCGTTGCCTCTCTCCCTACGGCATTACTCATGATTGTGTAGGCCTGGATGCTAGAAATCCCGGCTGCAGCACTATTGCAGGAGCAACGACGCAAGCCTGATCCCGGAGTCGCCTCCCTACCCAAGCCTATAACCGGATATGAACCTTCACCTACATGCCCAATAGCGGAAACGCCCCGCCGTCTCGAGACCGGATACTGGACATTCCGACTATAGAAGGTGGAGAAGCTGAACTTTTCTGCTCTCCTAGTTCTAGGAAATGGCCAGTTAGAAAAAAGCCTCCTCGCCAGCGCTACCCCTTTCCCTGCACGCTCGGTTGTTCTGGTCTCTACCTGCGCCGTCAACCCCCCTTCCAGGCCCGCTCGGAATGCTCCCCCATCGGCCTCGTCGCAGCTAACCACTCTGGCATAGCCTGTTTGAAGCCCTATCCTCGATCTACCCTCTGTATTCGATTCTCTTGATTATCACGAGGGCGACCATTCCTTAAGGTCGCGTTGTATTAGCTAAGATACGAACATGAGCCCCTGCTCAGCTCCTCGCTGTTGTACTATTACGATCCTCGCAGCAAGGTTTTCTTAGTGCTTGCGATAGTGGAAGCCTGTCGTTGGAACTACCTGGCCAATCGAAGAAATGCCGCACGACAACACAGTGAGCTTCTGCCTTCTTCACCGAGAATTGCGCAGCGGAGCGGAGCAGTAGAAGCGGGACTGTCGCTCGTCATTTCGGCGTAATGTTGAGAAGAGTAGCGNCCGCACGACAACACAGTGAGCTTCTGCCTTCTTCACCGAGAATTGCGCAGCGGAGCGGAGCAGTAGAAGCGGGACTGTCGCTCGTCATTTCGGCGTAATGTTGAGAAGAGTAGCGTATGAGAATGGCTAGATCTAGCTTCGCATCTCAACTTCCTGGCCATTTTCCCCCACCCGTTTCAGCGTTGAACCTCGACCGCGGGCGATAACTTGCCTTGTTCAAATGCCGCGTTACAAAAGTGGAAAGCGAACTTTAGGCAAGAGCAGTTAATTGGAGGAAAATTTGTAGAGAGGGATTATAACGGGACAAGTCTGGGCGATAACTTGCCTTGTTCAAATGCCGCGTTACAAAAGTGGAAAGCGAACTTTAGGCAAGAGCAGTTAATTGGAGGAAAATTTGTAGAGGGGGATTATAACGGGACAAGTCTCTCTGATAGGCATGCAGATAGGAATGTGGAGCTGCTTTCACTTGGAGATATCTATACATCTCAGCATTTTTGAAATCCGTAGTAGCACAGGTGTGATAGCTATATAAACCTCGGTGTTTCCGCCTCAAAATCCTTAGAATTCCACTCCAGGGCGAATTCGAGCATCTAACCCTCTACATACTATGGACAACATTGTCTTTTAC